ATTGATATTTTGCCATCACAGCAGTCCGGCCGTTTTTTGTCATTTTCGGTGCCGTTACAGGTGTTTCCTCTGTCTCTTCACCCATGTGATGTCCTCTCGAATGTTAAACCTTACCAAACAAAGAAAATTATTTCAAGCAAAATTAATAAGTTTAAATTTCAAAAACCCCACCACCCAACTATTTACGTCTCTGGTTTTAGCCATTACTCAGATGTGTATGTACATTGAAATCTACAAAGTGAATAACAGAAAATTGTGCTTTAATCCCTTGGCTTATGTCGCTGCTGGATATATTTTGCTGTCGCAGCCAACGTCAGCTGCATCGTTGACGGCAGCAAAGCTTTAATCCTCACGGACAGCAAATGCTAATCGCTCCACAGCGCATTCCCATGATGCAGCGAAACTTAATCCTTAGCTTTGTATGGATGTATTTGTATGTAGATACATACCCTGTAGTCAAATTTACTATTTTTAAACTACCTCACAACTAGTATGAACCGCACGCCCAACTAGTCAGCCAACTATCTTTTTTCCATGCAATCAATCAACTGGTATTTTTAACATGAGGATGTCCTACGAGATGGCAATTGTCAGATTTTGGCCAGAAATATACCAGTCTCATACTAGTTCAAAATAGAAAAATAGGAGTCAAATTATGGCCCAAAACCTCTACTTAGGAAGTCAAAAAATAAAATGATTTCATGAATATACAATAAAAAACTTTTGATTAAGTACACTTTAATATATTACACATTTTTATTTAGCAGCCTTAGATTTGCCAATAATTAGTGTTACATTTTTTGAGTGTTAATTAAAAGGAAAAATAAGTACATAAATATTTCACACTTTCGAACATAAATTTAAATGCATTTTTCATTAAATATTATAAAAAGTAAAAGCTTTCAGGTACAATAAATACTACATTTTTACCTTTTTTAATAATATTGAATATGGAAAAGAAAACATTTTAGTTAAAAATAAAACGAATACTTTAGTTAATTTTTGAGTGAACTAAAATAAAAATAAAAGTTTTAATTAAAATTAATTTAATTCATTAACTATTTCAGTAGTTTCGTTTTAAAAATTTTTAAAAGTAATAAATAATTCAAGCAGGGATTAATTATTCTTAATTTTTGTCTATACTTTGGCTTGCCGATTGATAATTGAAATTAATCAAATAGTTATATAAATCGTGTAAGTAAAAAAAGTCAAACATAATTGAAAATGATCGAAAATAACATAATAATGATGTAATTAAAATTAACGAATTAATTAAAATTTTTTGTTTAAGTAATTAATTATTAATCATTAAAAAGGTGCTAATATCGGTATTTAATCATTAAACGGTTATCCAAAAAAACATGCTTTAATTATTTAATTAATCATTATGAATATCTATCATTATTTAACAGGTATGGTGTAATTGCGACTACCCTGCAGTACGGGGGAGCGACTACAGGACTGATGAATCGGTAGCTACCTGGTAAACTCCGTCAATTACCGATCGACTACTTGCAGTGTATTTCATCGATTACTTTTACAAGGCAATGTCCTAGGCGGTAGTCACCATCGGCTATCTCTGCATTACCGGGAGTTACTAAAGTAGTCACTTGCGTGATTTATGGGCGCCCTCTGACGTAGTTTTTCGCTATTTTGCTTCTGACTGGTTCGATTCTGCACTACCATGTGCACTACCATGGGTTAATAGAGTAGCTACTTACATAGGAGTCGGTTCGGTAGCGGTTCAAAAGTAGCAATTGACTCCAGCAGTACTGGAGGGTACGTACTCGCTTTAACGGTTTCCTATATACCCAAAAGAGTTATAATATTTTGTGTTCTCTATTGTACTAAACTGTAGAGGTCAAATAAAACAGGGCATGAAAAAATCGTTTTGTACTTGGTACAAGTCTGGTCATTTTCGTACTAGTTCGGTTTCAGTCAGGAAATTCTAGTTGTAAACTAGTATTTTTGCTCACTAGTTTGAGGTTTCACTGCAGGGTAGTTATGCTTATGAATGTACCCTACAGCAATAGCGTGACCAATTGTCTCCAGAAATATAATCATGACGATAGTTGTTGTGTAACTAGGCCAGAAAAAGTCTTAAAACTGAACGCATTAGGGGTCTTCACACCTGGATCGCTGCTTCGTTAGTTAGCAGATTTACGTACAGATATTTGGCTTTTAGGAATCCAACGAAACCTACGAAAGCACCATCAGCGAAGCCCCCTTCCAGTGTATTTCCGATATGACAAAAAAAAAAAAACAAAATAAAAACAAAAAAGGGTCCTCTTGACCTGTTATCAGTCAACGAAATGCATAAAGTAACAATTAGCCGCAACCTAAGCCACGAAATGTGGCCTTCATGTATGCTTGGTCCAAATTAATAACCTGGTTGCAAGAATTCAAATCAGGAAACGCCACCATCTAAGTCTAGCCAGGCCTGTATTAAATTGTACGGTTGTTTAAAATTTTCCAGAAAGATCCCCAAAATTTTTGGAATATCTAAATCTTATGTACTTTTATATTTTTTTTTCAAAGTACTTAGCCTAACTGCATCGTTACTCGGCTGCGTTTTACCATAAAGATCAGTCGGCAGAAGATTAAATGCAGTTTCAAGGGCTTTAGTCGGCGCGAAGGCGCTTTATACCTGATTAAATTTTTCTCTAAAAGTTAATTTCTCTAAGGATGTCCACCAAAATGTGAATATGATACCTTTCAGATAATAAAGTTGTAATTGTTTTTTTTTGTGAAAATTATATATTCGTTGAAAGGCTCCGTAGCAGTGATAGTCCTCTCAACTACGCACATTGTATAGCTTTTAGACCAAGAATTATATTGGATATCGCATAGGATCACGCGATGACTTATGTAGCATAATTAACTATTAATCATTGCCGAGTGTAGGTGTCCCCAAAAATCGTAAAAAGCTCGCCTTTTAGGTTCGGCCAATTTTTTTTCGAATTTGCCTTAAAAACTTACTTTAGACTCAGGGGTATACGGCAGGGTCCAGATTTTTTTAGTAATAATATTTGGGCACAGTTTGCTGTTCTTAAAATTTACGCTGATTTGTGAAAAAAAAAACAAATGAATGAACCAGCGCATTTGCGTAAATAATCAAAAAAGACACGATTCATTTTTTTGCCTCGAAAACTAATTCCGCGCGCATCATCAGATATTTACTGACTTGTTTTGGGCTTTTCCGGATTTTTATGTCCACCACGCGGCAGCATGCAATGCAGCTTGGACAAATCAGCTTTAATCCAGAAATCGTGCTTGCAACACCGAAAATACCTCCGCTGCTGATGCCATTTGTAAATACCGTTGTGCCAACATGCAGTGGCACATACGTTTGTATGCAGCTCAGATGTACATACATACTTTTACAAGCATATACTATGTATGGATACATACCTACATATGTATGCACTCTTACACTGGGGGCTATTCAATTCAAAACTAATTGCAGTGAAATTAATTATTGTCTAACAGCATTTTTAGGCAATATTTTTCACGGAGATAATAATAATAATAGATTGGCGCTTACACATATGTTAGTGTTTGGCCGAGCTTCTCCTCCGATTTGTGGCGTGCGCCTTGATGTTGTCACACAAAGCGGAGGGACCTACAGTTTTACGCCGACTCCGAACGGCGATTG